TTAGGAATATTGGTAAGAATGTCATTGATGAAATGGGCGCCATTTCGGCTCTTTAGGTAAAGGCCTCGACCTTGTTTGGAAGGGGAATAGAATTAGTGGAAGAAGACGAGGTCGAAGCGACCCAAACGGATATGGCAGAGGATTATAAAGGTGGTCATGAAACGGATAGCATTGGGAGGAAGTTGGTGTAGAGGAAGCCCGAACCACTCACAAATGTGGAGCAGCTCAGGGCTTAAAGGGAAGTGGAGTCCAAGCTTAAATTGGATGGCGAAGAAAGTATAGCCATTTTTAGGGGGTGGTCGTATCGATCAAAAGAAAAAGGCTATAGAACGTCCAACCAGTGGGATGGCCAATTTTGTCGGATTTTACCCAACTGGTAGAGAGAGAGGTAGAAGAAGGACGCCTTGAAGAGGCTCTGGAAGGGTTTTTGGTCGAGAGTTTCATAGGAGAAGAGTTAAAAATACCAGGATGAGAGGAGGAATGAGGAATGGTCGAAGGTGTAGGGAAAGTAAGTTGAGAAGAAGTGACCTCGTTCTCCTTTGGCTCATCTAATGAGCCAAAGGCAGGTCGACGATGGCGGAGAGGAATGTTATCCATGGTATCCCCGGAATTAGGAGAGGCGACACGGGCCATAAAAACAACGGTGGAAATAGTATCCTCGGGGCGAAGGATGGAGATAGGAACAACTTCGAGTGCCGATGGCAGTATTTGAATCGAGTCAGAGGAGGTGGTCGAAGTAGCAGGATCTAAAAAACAAAAAAATAAAAGAACAATATCAAAAAGAGGAAGTTCGGCGAAAAGAAAAGGGGGAGAGGCGAAGGTGTTCAAAGCTAGTGTTCTACGAGGAGGCGATTTTGAAGAAATTAAAGATGAAGAACAGGAATTTCGGAAGATTTTCGAAGAAGGGAACAAATTCACAGTGATTAACAAGCAAATAGGGGCACCCAACACACAAAATTCAAGATACCCAACCAATTCAAAAAAATTCAAGCGAGGAACAACTTACTCATAGTCGCAGATGAAGAAATTGAGAAGGCCGGAATGGTGCATGAAGAATCTCCAAGAAGAAGAGCAAGGGTGAAGAATGATTTCAGAGCACAAGGAGTTTGAAAGTTGCAAAGGTGGAAAAAGTCCAAAATTCTCTAGGTGTTGATTTTATATGAAGGCTAGATGAGACGTGAAAGAAGGAGGACCATCGGATAAAAGATGAAATCGAACGGTTGAGTAATTAATGAATGCGGGATTTGAGATATTGCGAGACACGAGGAGGAGCAATGATTAAAGTACCTGATAGACGCAACAGATGAGACTGGTGGCAGAAAAGCAGGCGCGGCAGAAAGGACGTGTGACAGATGACTTTATTTCTGGCAATTAATGAAGAATTAATTAAAAAAAGAGCGGAAAATTCGTCAGATGGTCGATACCGAATATGATGCAACCTAGGAGAGCGACGAGCACAAGTTCACTCTTAGATCGAGTCATTCAGACTCGACCAGAGTGGGGGGGACTAGATGATATAGGATATTATACCCACAGGCCAAACCGGTCTGCCGAACCGGTCGAAGAGGCTATACCATGAGGAAATCGAGCTGAGTGGCAAAAAAGTCGACCAGTCAAGCAGTCGACCAGGAAAGCGATCGAGCAGTATAGTTGACCTCAACCGGTCGACCACTCTGCGAACTTAGTGCTTCATAGATCGACCTAGTCACAGGCGCGTGAAAGAGCCTCTAACAGAATTTCAGAAAAATATTCACCCCATGTGCAGAAGGACATGTGGCGAGAACCTATTGGTTGATAGCGACAACCACATCTGACAGCTCCCAACGTCCCACGCCACCTCTGACATGCGGTGTGTCAGAGTACGGACGGGCAGCTTGGGCAGCCAGCTCATCAAATTCGGGCAGCCTTAGGTCAGGTATCTCACCCCTATATAAAGGGGGTGAGCCTTTCTTCCTTGACACGATTTTTCTATTATTCAACTACAGTATACTCATACACATACTGACTTAAGCATCGGAGGCTCTTCAACCGGATACAACCCCCGGTGTGAGAGTTATTTGCAGGTTTTCGGCGTTCTACCAGCAAAGGCGAGGTTCGATCTATCCTAAACCGGGCTAGGACGCTCACACTTGCATTAGATATAAATGAGTTAAATTCCACAAAGTAGTGAAAGTTTCTCACACTTTCTCCCTTCTTCTCCTCCCTAGTGCAAATATCATTCCAGTCTCCTGCAAACCCAAAAATTTCCCCACTTGGTTCAATGGCCTTTAATAAATCCCACTATTCCTCTCTAGCACTTCTACCTAAGTACACTAGAACTAGCCAAGAAGACCCACTATCTTGTCTACAAGAAAATTCCACTTTCATACAAAACTCATGACAAATGAATTTTATAGATAACTGCATCCTTATTCCAAAGCAAAAGCAATTCCCCTGATAAACCTTAAGGGTTAACCACCTTCCGTGTACCTATATACCCATCTTAATACACATATATTTCACTTAATGTTTTTTTTTTTTTTTTTTTTTTTTTGGCATGAAAAAAAAAAAATTAGGTGGTGGGTGCTAATGGACTCCTTGAATTGGGGAACTGTAGAGGGTCCACCCAAACCTCTATAGTTCCACACCAGCACTCCCATTAGTCAATGGTTGGCCAACATCATCTTTTCCTCACTCAGCTCTACTTTCTTACCTTTCTCTAATGGCCGTTTTCCATCTTCTCAGAATTGGTTAAATCCTTCTTCACATTGACTTCCCCTTTTTAGAGATGAACTCACTATCTAATCATTTTTCTTTTTTTTTTTCTTATAAGCTCTGTAATCTTCCTTTAGTGGAGACAATTCTTCTCCACTTCTTGCTTCTTTGCTAGGTAGGTAACTCATTAGGTTTAGAACTCTTTGTGTTCCTTCATTACAAATATGATCTCCTTACTCCTGTTACCTCCAGAATCCACATTTGATACTAGTATCCCTTTATCTCTTAAAGTTCCTGCTTCACTCTAATCTTGATGAGAGCTATGAACTGGAATTATACTCAGACCCTAATAACTATCTTGCATACCAATATAATTGATTGTTCCTTTCTAAGTTGTGACTTGAACTTCAACCCGATAGGGGACATGGCTCAAGCTTCCAGAAGATATTCTCACCTTCATTTGTTGTTCCATCTCTTAAAGAAGTGGATTTATTCAGGGCTTGCGTCCTTATACCTCATAGAGCCCGATTGGCTGGCTTGGTGGATACTTGAAACCATATGTTCCCTTACCCTAAGCCACTCCCCGAATTGCCCATCTTGAAGTGAATTTTGAGTTATTATGTCCTCCATTCTCTTTTTGCAATCTCTGTCCAGATGCCTTAATTTCTCACAATAATAGCACGTGTTAACTAGCTTTTCGTACTTTAAGTTCACCTTGATCACCTGGTCTCCCAATCTCATATTCACACATCTCAGGAGCGGTTCATTGACATTAGGACTCTTCCTCCACCTATGTCACCTAACTTTGATAATGTTACATTGTTTAACCCCTTTGAATAGTTTGTCGATCTTTTGCCCTACCTCTGCACTTTACCAATGAGGAGGTATATTGTAGACATGTACCCACAACTGCAATTCGTCGAAACACTGGTGGTTGCAAATGATATTGCCTATCCATTCGTGCAAAATCAGATACTATAGTTCTCAAAAATCTAGTTGGAGCCCGACGCTACTTTCTTTAGATCAGACCATCACCATTCTAAAAAGTAAATTGAAAATAATTCGGATACAACTTGATTTCAATGATTTTTGAATCCTCCTTATCTGTAACATTGTTCTCTTCAGATTAAAAAGGTTGGTTATCATGTCTCCAACCACCTTCCCAAACATGCTTTTCGACGCTCCCCCTCATTTAACCTGATATCCTCTTGCCCAATATCAACAATAGAGTTCTCAATTTCTGACAATGAAAAGTTCTTCAACATCTGTTCAAAATCATCTTCCTCACTCCTCTGGCCCGAGTTCCCTTAATTTGCTACTTCGCTCCATGATTTTGCCTTGTCCTTCGCCTTCTACCAACACTTCAGGAAGAGAGCTCAATAATTATCGAGAATGTAAAACCATCTCACCCAAGACAACTAGGGTTCCCAATCGAGAGAATTGATTGAGGCCAAGAATTTTTCCATATGTTTGTTTTTTTTTTTTTTTTTTTTGGTACAAAAGAGGAGGCCAAAGGCCTAGAGTGGTATTAAACTAATACTCGACGGGGATATGAGACCCCTATAACATCATGATCCAACCATGTCCCCAACCTAGGGGGTGTTAAAACACGTTGGAGTCCCAACGAAGAAGAGGCCGCGGGAGTAGCCATATGATCAGCCGCAAAGTTAGCCTCTCAATGAACGTGGACAACCCAAACTTGCCAATCTCTGTGCAACAACTCTCGTATAGCCTGGACTAGAGGCCCGTGGGTTCCATGGTGGTCACCGGAGCCAGAAACCATGCTCGTCACGCACATGCTATCAACCTCGGCTAAAACATGACGATAGCCCCGGTCCAGACCAATTGTAGACCCTAAAAGAGAGACCCCACAACTCAACGCCCGTGATAGTACAAAGCCCGATATTCATGAGTAACCAGCAACCCAACTACCCGACTCATCCCTAATAAAGCCTCCCGCGCACCCTATGCCCGTGCTACTCTAAAAAACTCCATATGTTGAAATAGAGAGTTGTTCAAATGTGATAATATTTTGTAATCTCTAACATGTACCAATTTCGTCCACGTACACCTCAATTAAAGTAGTAGGGTTCCCTATAGGTCTATTAAAATAATTGCTTCGGCATCATCATCACCGGCCACAAATTCATACCCCACATACTGGCAACCGGATCCCTCGGTTATTACAAGCAGAAGAAATTTTCCAATATATACAACACACTCCATATGCATGCACTCACCATCAATATCACAGTTCACACTTTTAACCCTCCCTCTCTCTCTCTCTCTCTCTCTCTCACACAACCATGCCGGGCCACAACGACTACTTCAACGTCCCCCTCAGCCGCGTCGCCATCGGCAACCATGACGAGTTCCGCCATCCCGGCGCCATCAAGGCCGCGGTAGCTGAGTTCATCAGCACCCTCATCTTCGTCTTCGCCGGCTCCGGCTCCGGCATAGCCTACAACAAGATCACCGGAAACGGCCCCACCACCCCCTCCGGCCTCATCGTCGCCTCCGTCGCCCACGCCTTCGGCCTCTTCGTCGCCGTCTCCGTCGGCGCCAACATCTCCGGCGGCCACGTCAACCCCGCCGTCACTTTCGGCCTCTTCGTCGGCGGCAACATCACCCTCTTCCGCGGAATTCTCTACATCATTGCCCAGCTCCTCGGATCCGTCGTCGCCTGCCTTCTCCTCGGCTTCACCACCGGCGGCCTCGTAATTATTAACACCCACTAAATTTCTTCTAATAATAAGCTATCATTATTATTAATTGCCGTTAGATCACAGATCCGATTCTCTCTCTCTCTCTCTCTCAAAAGAAAATGTTTTTTGTGAGCAGGAAATCCCGGCGTTCGGCGTCACCGGCGTATCCGTGTGGAGCGCCTTCGTGTTCGAGATTGTGATGACCTTTGGGCTGGTGTACACAGTGTACGCCACCGCCGTTGACCCGAAGAAGGGGGAGATCGGCATAGTTGCGCCGATTGCTATCGGTTTCATAGTGGGAGCAAACATCCTGGCCGGCGGCGCGTTCACCGGCGCGTCGATGAACCCGGCAGTGGCTTTCGGGCCTGCCCTGGTGAGCTTCACCTGGACCCACCACTGGATCTACTGGGCCGGGCCTCTCGTCGGAGGTGGGCTCGCCGGTATTGTGTACGAGATCTTCTTCATCAGCCACACCCACGAGCCCTTGCCGGAATACTAACTAATGAGTTGAACGGAATCTTATTAATTCCTCGCGGTTGTGTTTGATTATTAGGTGGCTCAACTTATTATATTAGTGTGTGTTTGTTCCTTCTCTATTATTTTCAGCTTTCAATTGGTGGCGCTTTGAAAATGTGACTTTGTGTTTGTTGTGTATTTTGTTGTCTATTTGCCGTTCTGCAAACATGTGCTGTGCTCAATAATTTTTTTCTTTTTGTTTATTTTGTTTTTTCATTTTGTTTTGTTTTTTTTTTTTTT